CTTTTGTACTGGTATAGCCAATCCTGAACCTCAGGGCTTTAATGCAATTCCAGGTTGTTATAATGTTTTCAACAGCAGGAACTGTACCTGCCTCACCCCGTTTAGTGTTTTCCAAGTCTATCTAAAGAAGAGAACAATTTCGATCAAATCTCAAATTAAGTACAAATTTCCATATTTCAAGTGCAAAGTTTTACCTTATTCTCCACTGTAAATTTTCCAGTTCTGAGGCCATTGATGGATCAATTTGGAAGCAGTTTCAATGACCATAAATTAACTGATCTGAATCTGTGGAGGAAGGGTTGGTCAGTTGGCCATGGTTGGGACATCCTACAATGGGTTATCACATACATGCCTGGACTCTTCTGTCCCTACTGATTGCACTCTCCAAGTCCACCCCCAGCTGGAGCCATTTCTGAGGCATGGTTCTTGGTTAAATCCATCTCCACCCTTAAAACCAAAGACCCTATTTCTTCTTTCTGTCCCTATACTAAGTGCTTATGCTGTACATTCCTTAAGCAAGTCTTGCCCTGTGGAAATAGTTTACTTGGATTTGACAGGATATTCATCCATCCATCCATCCATCTATCCATCCACCCTCTGTGCCCTTATCCTATGCAGTATCCAGAGCCTATCCCAGAAGGTACAGGCGCAAGGCAGAGAATAACGAAGGATGGGGTGCCAACCCATTGCAGGGCTTGGCAAGACATATTGCTGCTTAATATACATGTTTTATTATAGAATGTGTTTAGGAAGCCTACTGCCTTAGCATAACATTTTTATGTTTCAGTGTTGCGATGCTAACATACCTTCTCCTGCAGACAGGAGTATCTGTTCTTTTGTTGGCTAATCTGATATTGCTGGTGGAGCTGAATGAGTCTATGAGCCGGCACATGCTCTTGGCTGAACACAGAATGATGACTGAAAACCAACCCTCAATCTGCCAGAGCCTTGTGCCACTCTCACTACCATAAATGGCCAAACTTGCTTGTGTCTGTGCAATTGCCTGCAGAATTAAAGGTAAAGCATAAGAGTAATATTGCTCTTAAATATCATCACTGGAACCTAAAGGAATTTAGCTGCTGTGCCAAAAGACTAAGTGGGAAATTTCTATGAAAGCGAAGTCAGGTTAAAGCATTTCAATTTTTTGCAAATGTTTCAGTCTTGCTTATAGAGTAGCAAATTTGGAATTAAACCCCTGTGCAGGATGCATTTATTGGGAATGAATAGCAGCATTAAAAAGAATCAACTATATATTATGCTGGTCAATGGAGTAGCCAAATGAAAGCTTTATACGATCTATTTATCTATTGACTCCATCACTAGTGTTTTAATTATAATTTAATGTGTTTACTGATCATGAGAGTTGGGTGTTTTCAAACACAGCGATCAGGCTGGGTGACAAAGAGCCAGGAACCAATGTCTTCTAAATTCAGATCCGTTGACCTTTTATTTTATAAATGATTGATAATAATCCCATAATCTCAAAACAATGGTCAATTATGGAGGCGTAAGTGCAGACGGGAAGTCAAATTTTGAACAGCAGAATTTACATAATAGATCAGGATGTGCAATCATCTTACCGTCTTCTCTACACCAGTGGGATCCCTGGAAGAACAGGTTAATTGTTAATTATATGTCTGCCCTCTCCTCCGCTAGATGTTAAAGTCAAATTATGCCTTAATGAAGTACATTCAGTACTTCATTAAGTGAAGTACATTCGTAATGAAGTAGCTCAGATTCATATTGCATAATCATTAGGTGGCATTTCTGTGGCCTTCACACAATCATTACTACAGTAGGTGAAATGTCCGATTAACTGAATTCACACAGATAGTTATTCCCATATTTATTTATAGTGTACAGTCTACAATAGCTGTATTCCTTTCAAAGATTGCATAACACTGTTTCATAATACTTTAAATAAAGCTTAGAAAAGGTAATATCATTACAGTTTACATGCAAATTTCTTATATAAGTATCCAACAAAGGTTCATATTTTTAACATAGCCATGGATGTAAAAAGGGCTTTATGGTAATGTGTTTATATGAAATGATGCTTTATTGATCCCTGTGGGGTCATTTTCTTTTTGCCTACCCCCTCTTGCTCTCCATGACAGGTGGGAGCAAGCCTGTCAGCAAAGGGCAGTTACCCATAGTGCTCATGGAGCTGGGGGTTAAGGGTCTTGGTTAAGGGCCCACAGATGTGGCTATTCTGCTGAGGCCAGGCTTCGACCAGCAAATTTCTGATCATAGGCACAGAGGTTTAGCCCACTGAGCCACATGCTCCCCTTCCTTATGTGGTGGCCTAATGGTTAGAGGAGCATGCTTGTAATTGAACGATCGCTGGTTCGACTCCCCAACCAACAAGATACCATTGAGGTACCCTGAGTAAGACACTGGGTGCTGAATTAGTTGCCTCCTGCTATATCATGATGTCACATATGGGTTAAATGCAGAGGACACATTTCGTTGTTGTGTTTCAACAATGACCACTAATCACCAAATTCTGTTCAAACCTAACTTACTGAGATGAGGTACATTTCTGGTTATATGGATGGTTGTTTCTGTCATGTTTTACAATAACCTTCCTTTGATCTATGAGTGTTTCATTTTTTTATCATCTTTCGTGACACTTGAAGTCTCATAAACTAAGAACCCTTCATTTAACACAAAGTGTGGGTTATTCACAGAGGTGGAAAGTTCAGGTCCAGAAAGTACAAATCCAGACCAAGATTTTGTTTCAACCAACCAGTTAATTTCTCTGTGACTGTGACTCTTTACACTGACCTGGTTGGTTGAAACAAAATCCTGGTCTGGATTTGTACTTTCTGAACCGAAACTTTCCACCTCTGGTTATTTCCAAGTTTTTTTTCTGCTTAAAGAAACATAAAAATGTGTAATTAATTTAGACATTGATGGATCCCTGATGTCTTGCAAAACAGAATTTAAACAAACAGAACAATGAGAACTTCTGTCCACTAGAGACTTCATAGTCATTGGAAGTAAACGGAATGCCTGGATAAATTTAAAAGAAGTCATCTTTTGGCAGCAGAATCACTGGGTGCATACAAATATGGAGGTGGACTCAAGTCATGTTTCACAGTTTAACCAGACAACAGAGGACCAGGAATCTCAGCCAATTTTTTCAGTGGAAACTGACAATTCTGGTCTTTTGTTGTCCTGTGTAGCCTTGAAATTATTAATAAAAGACAAGTACTGTATAAACAGGACCCTACCACCAGGCCTTGATACAAGCCTGAAAATAAGCTAAGAAACCTCAGATATTAAAAATAAAAACAAACCTGACAATAACTTCCTTGCAAGTGTAGTCTTCTATGAAGCAAATTACGAATTAAAGTAGATTTATCACAGAAACGATATGCTTTGTATTATTTACAATCCTAGCCTTATGAAAAAGGCATAAGAAATCAAAAAAACAAAAATGGGCATTTAGTAGCTTGTTGTTAAAAACCAAAACGATTATTGTACACATTCGCCTTTTGCGGGAGACATACAACTGTAAACAAAATTTACATTGTAGAAATAATACGGTAAATAAAAATGCCTGTGATGGCCCACATGGATTTTCTTGCTTTTCTGTTACTATTTACAATTACAGCTCTATGCTTCTGAAGTAGTTATTGCCATATGTTTGACACACTGCCCAGATCTTGATATGATGACTACATTAAGATACATGAATCTGGCTTAATTAGCACATGTAGTTTTATCACAGGGTGAGCGATGGAGTAAAAAAAATACACCACAAGCCTTCTCGCCCTACGCTGTCTGAGTCTGAGTCTCTCTCGGTCTTTCAGGGAATGACTAATACTACAAGGGGGATGAGGGACCGCTGTCAGACAGTCATAAAATAGAAAATATTATTACCGAAGGAAAAAAAAAAAACAATATATATATATACGACACACCGTATGGTATCTGCAAAGGACAGTTGCCGTACTAGCATTTCTTCGCTGTGTTGTTTTAAGAAAAAAACTTTACTATTGTTTAATTCTGCTTTTCATCCACCGGCTGCATAATCGATTCAGTGTGATTATTTTCTGCCACATATTCATGAAGAAATGGGCAAAACATGGGATATTATTTACAGTATTTATTACTGTAAATATATATAGTTACGTACGTATATCTATGTACGTGTTTTTGAGAGAATGACAAGTAAAATGCGCTGCGACAGACCAGAAATGATGCTTAAATGCAATCAACTGGAGTAAGATCCTGCAAAGCTCAGTTAAAGGACAGTCGGTTTATCAGTCATTAGAGTAAAGATAGTTGTTCGAATTAAAAAAAGTTAAATAAGTCACTAAATAAATAAATTAAAAAACTCCTACGTGATGACCTGCAGAGTAAAAGTGACCGTTTTGGGAAGCGCTTAAAACGGGTGCGAGGGTAAAACGTCAAGGAGTGATAATTTTAAGTTAAACATTTCTTTAGTTTCCATAATAATTATGTTACTTAACATTTACAGGACGTGGGGTGTTAGAAAATACAGTTCATTGCGTATAATAAAACTGAATATTTAGTAGGCTAACTCCTAACAATATGAAATATATTTTTAAAACTGTTATATGAGTGATGACTGTAAAAAGTATCAAAATATATTTTCTCAAAGGCTATAATATTATTTCTAGAATAACCACGCATTGTGTGTTAATATCCCCTTGAGTTTTATTATATCATTTTTAATTATTAAGTAAAGAAAAAAATGTGTGAATATTGATAATACATGGTCCTTAAATCATTATAACTGCAACTGTAATCCTAGTACAAGTTTTTTGCCATCTTTAACTCACCCACACATCACGTCAGTTTAACCCGTTAGGTTGCACGTTATGGACACATTCGCGGAGGTAGTCAATGCTCTTGCTACGAGAGGATTTCCATTTCCTGCAGTCTTTTTCGCTGTTTTTAGCTTCCCCTTAAAACGTTTACTTTGATTGGTTAGCCGAAGCGCATGTAACCAATCAGGCCCTGGCTACTATGGAGGAAGGAATAAATGCAAGATGGCTCCTCATATAAAATCAGCCTCCTGGCTTCTCTATTGCGAACAACAAAATAAGTCTTTATATCTCATTAGATTAAAACATTTTTCTGGTAGCAGTTCTGCGGGATAATTTAAGCTTTACGGTGATATACGTGTAACTTAAGGCATGATCCTGTGACGCCAGTTGTTCGAGAGAAAAGCGGGACCTATTTAGAAACTATGAATTAGGAGCACTCATCTCGACTGTCTGGCTTTGGAAGGCAGCGCGACAGATCAGGGCCTCTATTCAGGAAACCTATTTTTTAAAAAACAGTGTATCAAAACTATTAAATTCATGGTGTCTTTGTACGCTTGCCCGGATTACAGAATAGCACAGTGACGCTCTGGATCACAGCATGGCTGTTTCAAGGTGGGGTTTCTTTTCCAATTTCAAAAACTTCCAAGCTAACCAAGTAGCTCGTTAGCCAGACTGACAACAATAGATGGTCCATGTCACACCGGCCAGGCCGTGTACTTGGCTCCGGATAAGATAGCTGTGTAGCTCACTATTCACTGCGTTTTTTAAAGTTGTTATCTGTATGTTTCTCTATTAAATCAAATTAATGAAATTAAGTGTCAGATGTATGTTACTGCTAGAGTACGCTGCTTGTTGGCTTTATTCGGGTGTCTTAGCCGCCTTACTGTACAGCAGTATGTGTAGGCAGCTAGCGCAAAGTTAACATTTGCATCACATTTCGTGTAGAGGAATTTCTGTATTTGCGTGGCCATTTACTAAATGATTGCTTAACTTGAGTTTCCTTATTCGCAGATACACTGGGATTAGCACCAACGTGTTTGCTTTCCATTGTGGTACTTAACTAATTAGCGATACATAGTGAAAATGTTAAGGGGGGTAAATGCAAACGATTTGGAAGTACTGGGTTGATAGTTTTGCTTACCCTCTAAGTATTGGGGGAACTTGTTTGCCCCCCCCCCCCGCAGCAATATTCCCCTGTATTGATCTCAGACAATCTGACAGCTACCTTAACGTGGCTGCTAATGTGCTTTAATAACCTCACAAGCTGTCCCTTTGAGAGCCGGCAAAGCGACACCCATTTTACCCGAATGTCGACCTGAGCCGCGTAATCTTTCTTCTGTATTACAGCCTAAATGTCTAGATCAGCAAGCCCCTAAGCTGATGCATGCAAAGGAGTTGTACTGTACTTTTTTTACAATGAGACTGGCATTTTTAATACTGTAATGCGTTTTGCTAACTGTAGGATTGCTAGCTGATATGACAGTATATCGTTGGGTGGTGCTTTCTGAACAGAATTCTCTTTTCTTGAAATGTATGGCGTTACCTAGTCGTACAGTAGTAGTGATTAGCTGGAGCTCTCCTGTTTTCCATATACACAGAATAATGCAGCTTGCATAAGGCTGCTCCAGGCGTGTTTATTGGAATATATCCTTACTGTTTTTGTGTGAAAGTAAAATTTAGTTTTGTTGTGTCTATAACAGGATGCTATGTGGTAGTCCTGTGGTTATTTTAAACATCAGTTTAATAGTCTAACATAAATCTTAAATCAGCCTTTCAGAAAGCAGGGAGAGGCAAATGAAAATGGACCAGAACTAGGTACCTGCTACAGTTCATGCATGATCCCCTTAAATACTGTATACCCTATTTGGATGGGTATCCCCTGCAAAGTTCTTTTTGTTAGGTTTACAGGATAATAGTAATTGCAAATCATTACTTTACAAAACTGCTCTGAAGACCCCATTCAACTACTTCATGGAGTCCAGGTTGAAAAGTCCTGGTGTAAAATACTACAGTCCTAGTGATTTGGGTGCTCTGCTACAATGTTATTAGTTGCATGATATAGAACCTATATTAAATTGTAGAAGTAAACTCTTAGCAGTTTGAAGTGATTTGTCTTGTACCAGAGTAGTGCAACCATATGTGAAATTTTTCTTGCATGGTATTGTGTCATCTGCCTCTGATGAGAGTACTGCGTGCATCTAAATATGTTTAAATTCTTAGGAAACGTGTATTTTCCAAATGTTTTTCATTCTGATTTTTATGTACCAAAATATAAACATTTATGTCCCTTATTAAACCATTTAAGACAAGGTTGTATATCACGCAGGAACCAAACTGTAACAACTGCTTTAAGTATTTTACTAAAATTGCTTAAAATGTTATTTGTATATGGACACATTTAAAGTTATCCAGAACATGCACTGGCATTCAGTAAATGTACCAATTATTATTTAAAATTACATGCTGAAGGCAGTTTATATGGTGTCCGGTAATTGGCAAAGAAATCAGGTTTTGTAAATATGTGAGGCCAGACTCCACAATCTGTCGCTGCTTTTTATTTATTTATTTTTAAAAACACCCTTAATATACCAGATTGCATGGGGACATTTATGGGAATGGGACTTAATGGTCCAGATTCTTCGTCTTTTCCGTTTCGGATTCTGTAGCCTGTATCTCTACACAGTAGTCTTCAGAAGTTTGTGCCCTATCATTGCGGTCCCTGCCAAGTGAGTTCCTCATTTTACTTAATTGTACTTTACTGAATAGCCATTGCTTGGGAAATTGCACATCTGTTACGACTGGCAGCTGATGACTGGACACCAGTCATGTCTTTTCGAGGTATTTAAGCACTAGCCAGTCTGGATAATTGACCTAAGCTCTTTCTTTCCATGCCTGATGGCAACTATGTAGGTGGCCAATACTGTTCTGAGCTGTAATCCCAGACCCGGCTTAGGAAGGACACCTTTTCTAGTTGCACTCTTCCTTCTAAAGTTTTCAGTCTTCTCCCCACCCAGGCTTGACCGTCTGTTCATTCTGCTGGACACGGGTACAACTCCAGTGACTAGGAAGGCTGCAGCCCAGCAGCTGGGGGATGTTGTCAAGCTCCACCCACATGAGCTTAACAACCTGTTATCTAAGGTGAGCCTCCCAGTGTGCTGCACCTCTCCAGTGCTCCATCCCTTCGGGGATGGAAATTTGAATACAAATTGGGCGTTTTAAGTAGTTTGTCCTTTGTGCCTTCTTAGTGTATTAAGTTAATAATTTAACAGCCAGGAAATGGGTCTTTGATTTCTATGCCAGTAGTTTAGTCATGTGTCTGTAGGAGTATGTGCAGTGTTTTTTTGGTTGAAATGTTTTTTTTGTTTGTTTTTTTCCCTCCCTGCTTTCAAAAGGTTATAACATACTTGAGAAGCCCAAATTGGGACACACGCATTGCAGCTGGCCAGGCAGTGGAAGCCATTGTTAAGAATATTCCCGAATGGAGTCCAGCCCCCAAGCCTAAAGAAGGTGATGCAGGCCGCTAGCATTCTTCATCATTTTCTTGTTTGGTTTTCCTAAGATGTTTGAATTAACTTTACTTCTTGCTGCGTCAAGATAGTCAAACTATTAGCCTATACAGCAAGTCTGTAGTGGTCTGTAAATAGATGGTTTTTCTTAAGAAAAAAGAAAATATTTTAAGGTGATGGAAACAAACTTTATTCCATGAGCTGTTAGTATCTCAAATTAGTACCACACATGACATGTCTTTTCACTTTTCACACAACATTTCCCTGTTGAGGTTAAATGCAGTGCTGTAGCATACTGATGAGGAACCACTGTGTGTTTCAGAGTCAGGCTCGGACCCATGTCTGGAAGATACCTCATCGGACCGACTCAGCTTCTACAGGTTTGACATCATTCGTCTGCTGAAACATGGTGCATCTCTTCTTGGGTCTGCTGGAGCTGAGTTTGAAGTCCAGGATGACAAATCAGGTATTTGCTGTTTTGCCTTTTCCTTGTTTATGAAGTTACTGCCGTTTCATGGGGTAGTGAGAATTCCGTCAGTTGCATAGGGTGTTTGTTATTCAGTCCAGTGGGGCGGTTTTGTGTTGATAGGCTGGTAGACATAAGGGTAAAGGGGGAAAAAAAACAAGTCTAACCTTGTTTCTCATCCTTTTAGCTGAGGTGGATCCCAAGGAGCGGCTGGCCCGCCAGAGGAAGCTGCTGCAGAAGAAACTAGGTCTGGACATGGGGGCTGCCATTGGGATGGACACAGAGGAGCTCTTCAATGATGAGGACCTGGACTACTCTCCAAGCTGCAACCCTGGAGGGCAGAAAGCCTCAGGAGCAAAGGCTTCGGTCTGTCCGACCTCACGCAACCACCACACGGTGAGTGTCTTCTCGGTGAGCAGTTGGGCACAGTCTGTTAAGAGACTGTAGAACTGAAGAAAAGATGGTTGCTCGATTTAGCAGTAGCTAAAGTAGATGACACTAAATCCTAAACTATGTATACAGTATAACCTATAAATATTTGTTGGCCACAACGGATAAGTTGACCAGCAGTCTTGGTCTGTCTAGAACAATGCTGCAAACATTCGTCCAAATGATATTTTTAGTTTTACTTACATTATGAACTAGGTCACACATATTGCTTGTACAGTATGTTATCTGTCTTTTTCTTTTTTCCCCACTGACACAATAATCTAGTGGTGAAAACCTTCTGGGCCCTTATCAGGCTTGATGCACTATTCTAAGAGCAGTTGGAAATGGTGGAGCCTTTCATTGATAGGCAGGTTCAGCAGGATAAGGTTGTGTACTATTATGTTTGTGTTGCCCAATGTAATATGAGAAATATGCTATCAATCACTTAATGTTTGACTCCTTTATTTTACACTTTCAAGCTGAGCTGGTGGAAGAAGTTGATGTGAATTGTTTGACTGTAAAGCTTAACACCCTTCCAAGAATAGTAGAGGTCTATGCAGAGCTGTATTTTACAATATTAATCTCTGGCAGGAAATGGGCATGTCTCATATTATTGCTTAGCCAGGGAAGACTTTGTTTTGTAAATTGGAGCATCAGCATAATTATTAAGTTTGTCTGTTTCAGTGCTTTAATGTATAAATTTGTCTTTAAGACTATGCAGGCAGCTGAGCTGATAGATTCGGAGTTCCGGCCAGGCATGAGTAATCGACAGAAGAACAAGGCGAAGAGGATGGCCAAGCTGGTGGCCAAGCAAAGATCAAGGGACATGGACACCAATGAGAAAAGGTTGGAATTTTTACAAATTTTATTCCCTCCAACCAGTATGGAGGTATGCATCTAACAAAATGGAAAAGCTCAAACCAAGGTCAAATTAATGATTGTTAATTATTAATAAGGATGAAAAATTTCAGCATTGCATCTTTTGGATGTTTACATTCTATTAAATGTAGTAATTATACAATTAAAGCACAATTCACTCTTGGTTTAAGTTTGATATAACAGCACCTGAAAGGAGATCTTTGTATTTTAAGCCCGACTTTGGAACTAGATCCTTCAGTCTTCTGTTTTTTGTGCCCTACAGCAACGACAGCTTTGAAGGGGAACCCGAGGAGAAACGCAGAAAAACCACAAATGTTGTTATTGAGCAACCAGCGGTGGAGCACAAAGTCTTAATAGATAACGTTCCAGATAACTCAAACCTGTTTGAGGAGGTGGGTAAAAAATTAAAAACAATGAAAGCAAAGATTTTATGACCGAATATTTTGGTTTTATTTGATGCTCGCTATAACTTTACTTTCCCAAATAAACCTTGTTCCACCTAGGAGAGATGAAGGGTTAATAAGTCCTTCATGTTGATTTGGATGCCCTCTGAATTTTCACGTTCATTGATTTAAGATCAGTATTTGGTGAGGGTAAAGAAATCCTAGCTTTGTGCCCAAAGGTGACCCCTCGACCCAGAGAGAGCCCTCTATATATACTGGCCGTGCTAATTTCCATGGTTTCTTTGCCAGTGTTTCCCCGGCCTCTGCTGGGTGCCGCACTTGTCACCTGGCATCTGCGATGTAACTGATGTAATAAAAAATTCCTCTGTGATTTTGTTTTTTTTTTTCCTCCTTTGTTTTGTTTCCTATTGCTAGAGCCCATTTTGGCTGCATTTTTGTATTTGGCATAGAAGTAGCTCAAAGTATTACTTTGCCTGAATGAATGTTTTTTTTTTATGTTTAAAAAACCCTTTCTTTGTTCACAGACGCAAGAATGGCCACTAGAGAGTTTTTGTGATGAGCTCTGCAATGATCTTTTCAATCCATCTTGGGAGGTAAGTGTTTTGTCAGAATATTTAACAAACGTTTCTCTAATTACATGTTAAATTGTACATGTGGTGGGAGGGTCCAGGCCCACATTTTTCTGGCAGTTTGCTGCGACCTTTACTTTGTGTCCTTGAATTTTAAAAACTGTTTAAAATCAGAACCATTCCAGGAAAGAGGAACAATTCTATTGTCATTGTGGTACAGTGAGAAGAAAGGTAGACTTGAGTCATTTCCATGAGACAGTGGAATAGAACAATGGCTTGGAATCATGAAGGAAGCTGAAGAAAATTGTTCTGAATGCTGTAGTAAATTTGAGTCATTTCTTTGATGAACCAGTGACTTCACATGTTCAGTGTTGGGGGTGCAAACCTCTGTTCTCCATGCGTGGAGTTTGCATGTTCTCTCATACCGTGCAGGTTTCGTTCCAGTACACTGTTTCCTGCAGTCCATAGACATGCGGTTAGGTTACTGTACCCTGCAATGCATTGGCATTCTGTCTAGGGC